TGATTTTCATTTTTTCCTCATTATGAACCTGTGTTTTTTCTTTAATGATTTGAATAGATAGCTTCATTAGCGATCCGAAGTGGGAATGGGCTTCTCTTAAAGGGTGGAAAAGAGGCTAAGAGATCAAATGCAATTTTACACAAGGTTTGTTTTCTTTAAATCAGAATATGCAGAAAACTAATATTTGAATTTTCTTTTTAATTTTCCAATGAAATACATCAAATTTTATTTAAACTATTTTTAACAAAAAATATGTAGATTATAACTGGAGCCATCCCAGATAGTGTTGGTGGAAAACTAATTGGACTTGTCACTTCAAGAGAGGAGATTCCAGATCTTCTTAAGGTGAGTAGAGCAGAGAACGATAACTGATTCCTTGGTCTACTTTCAGATTATAATTGATACTAAACACAAAAATATTTTCCAGCATGATGATGTGATTGATCTTGTGATCCCAAGGGGAAGCAATAAACTGGTTTCTCAAGTCAAGAATTTAACCAAGATTCCAGTTCTGGGGCATGCTGGTTAGATAAATTAAATTTTTTCTTGTATATAATTTGCAGTCTGTTCTCCATTTTTCCTATAGTATTGTTGTTTTAGAGAAGAAGATGAACGTGACTATTGTGGTAAAAAAAAAAAATGCATTGTTTGCTATGCAGATGGCATATGCCATGTGTATATTGACAAGTCTGCTAATATGGATATGGCAAAGCGAATTGCTGTGGATGCAAAAGTAGATTATCCAGCAGCCTGTAACGCAATGGTAATTTATATGTTATGTACAATTTCTGGATAATAATATATTTTGATGCATCCTAAAAGTTTTCCAGTTTAAAATTTGAAATTACATTCTAATTGTGTGTTTATTATTCTCAGGAAACACTTCTTGTCCATAAGGATTTAAAGGATACAACTGAGTTCAATGATCTTGTGGTTGACCTTCGCGCTGAAGGTACAATTTTCATGCAGACAACCGTTTCCTTGTAAACTATGAGCTCTCATTTAGTTACTCTTGGATGACAACAACAAAAAAAAAATTCAATCCTGGTTTGTCATTCTGGTCTAGTAATCCAAAATCACGCAGTAGTTCCAATTTTTTTAAGTTAAATGAGGTAGTTCCAATTCAGTTCCTTTTGAACAGTTGGATTTTGTTCTTCCGAGTTCTAACATTCATTGACTAAAGCACTTGGTGATTGAGGATGAGAGTAACTAAATTTTCCAATCACCACAGGCATGCAACAGAACAATATTATGTTTGTTTTTCTTCCATTATTTAAAACTTGGAGAACTTTTAAGGAGCAAGAAAAATTCTTACAGTGAAACATGCCATCAGAAGTATCTAAAGAAATTCAACCCATGATATATCATTTTCAGGTGTTACTTTATATGGTGGACCAAGGGCAAGCTCCTTGCTCAATATTCCACAAGCGTATTCATTCCATCATGAGTACAGTTCAATGTCTTGCACTGTTGAGTTTGTGGATGATGTCCATGCAGCCATTGATCATATACATGAACATGGAAGGTACGTTAGAGTTCCATATCACATGAACTGCATTTCAATGACTTGTATGAAGCTGTGTCATTTATTTGTTCCTTTCCTCTGTTTGGCAGTGCACATACTGATTGCGTTATCGCAGAAGACCTAGAAGTTGTAGATGCCTTTTTAGGTCAAGTTGACAGGTAAGAATGCTTCATTCCCGTCTTGTTTCCAGAAGATCTGTGCAATCTTATTCAGTGCTATCATACTAGTTTAATTCTCCACGTCAATCAGAATATTTCCATAAGAGGAGACAATTACATAGGGTTAGGCCGACCAAGCCTTTTCGGCATGAAGTGGCTGCTCATAAGAATTAAACCAAGCTCTTGCAGTTTAGCAACCAAGTTTCTTCATTGCACAGAAGAATGCCCCGAGGTTTTCCTTGTTTAACAGTAAATGTTTGATTGTTCTATGTGTACGCAGTGCTGCTGTTTTTCACAATGCAAGCCCAAGATTTTGCGATGGTGCTCGATTTGGACTTGGCGCAGAGGTATACTACCATCTAGGAATGATTTTATTAAGATTAGTGATATGCTGATATGTAAATTCTTTAGCCTTGTATTTAATTCTCTTCTTTTACCCAACAGGTTGGGATAAGCACGAGTCGAATTCATGCTCGGGGCCCTGTAGGAGTAGAAGGATTGTTAACAACAAGATGGTATGAAACCTCAATTTTTGTTAGTCTTGAGAAAACCTCAATTCATCTTCATTTTACATTGAGCTTTCCTATTGTTATATCGCAACTTTATTGGACGTGCAGGATTCTCAGAGGAAATGGACAAGTTGTGGACGGTGATAAGGGGGTTATTTACACCCACAAGGACCTCCCAATTGAGCCCTAAATTTGCCAACAATCATGACCACCCATCGCTACCCATTCCCAGGTGCCAGGTGGTCACTGTTAAGAGAGAGAGAGAGAGAGAGGAGAATAAAATATGTTGTATTGGCTATTGGCCTGATGCTTTATGTTATCTTCTTAGGTATGATTTGTAGATTATTACTCGCGTAAGTTTTTAGAAAATTGATAACCGATATGAGTGCAACCATTTCTTTACTCAACTCAATTCTGATCTCCTCGCTTACGCGATTCCTCAAGTTTTAAGAATAGCAAACATAAATAAGAATTGCACGAGGAGTGTATGATGACTTTTTTGGAGTGTCAAAAGTTAGTTTTTGAAAATATGAAGGCATATGTGGAAAATTTCCAATGTGTACCTACACATAATATCTGCTCGTAACACAACTAACTCATTACCAGCCGAAAGTGGAATGACGAAACTTTGAGCTCAGCTAAAAGTTACTGACACGATTCTAGTAACTAACGGCCTCCTGTAAGGTAGGTAAGGTTTCCACTATGAATTAGCTTTTCAACTCAAGTCTTCTTTTCTTGCCAATATGAACAATGTAGAAAGTAAGTTTGTTAGCAATAGAAAACTCAGAAGTCTGGAAAATGCTACCACAAAGAAATGGTATAATAATAAAGGGCACAATAAATTGCCTAAATGGTTATTTTCATATTAAAAGCACTGTTGTTGCATAATAGCCTTCCAACAAACTCACATCCCTCAAGGTTTCAATGAACTACATTATCCTCTACTTTTAATCATATAATTTGAACTTATAGCAATAGGAGTTCCCAAGATGCAAGCTAAACCATGTTCCCGAATCTCTTCTACCAAACAATATCTCAGGTAAAAGTTTATGCTGCAACGAACTGCTTCAGTTTCTGCAACCAATTCGCATATTCTCTGGTGTCTTTGTTGATCATGTACTCATGCAAGAAATTGGTTGTGCTGGGCTTGATTCCTCTAATCTCCAAATACTTGTGGAATGCCTTCTGAAGGTTCTCATCCAAATCACTGCAAATGGAGCAGACATTCGTGTGTCGATTAGAGAAGACTATATAAACAATAATCTTGAATTAATGCTAAACAACTACAAGTAATCGAGGCTTACTGGAAGTCAGGCCCCTCATAGGCAATCTGATCCTCAGAATTCTCTGGATTTTTCACTGCCAAGCTGTCAATTTCAATCTCATCAGCAAAAGCAGTGCAGCTAAACTCAAGAGAAGGTCCATCACTCTTGGAGACAGTTACGAGCAACGGGAGGCTGGACTTATTAGCACTTCCATCGTCATCATCACCATCCTGGTCACCGTCGTTTTCTTCATCACCAGTAACTAGATCAGGCATGTGAACTTCAACTACTATGTTTTCACCCTGATATGTTCTTTTCAGTGTCACTAATTGGGCTCCGGGAGTATCTTCAATTTGAAAAGGGAAGCCACTTGGAATCTCTTCAGCCTACAAAACGAGAACTCGGGCAGTGATAATTATGGCGATATTTTAACATTAATGAATCACATAATTCAAATAGTTGGAAGCATCACAAAACAGGAAATTTACAAGTACCAAATCATACACACAATCATTCAAAATCATACACACCCACACACAGAAACATATATTACACTAACAACTTAAATTCATATAGTTCTTTAACAAGTAGTAACCTTTCCCAAAAATCTAGCCAAAGAGGCAACTCAAAACCAAGTTAATGAACAGAGAGACACAAACCCATGATCAGCATCAGTAGTCTGGGATCTATTGCAAAAGAATTTGTAAAATTGACCAAATATGACAAATTTAATTCTAACTCAAGGGCTCATACAATCTCTGCATGTTGGAGTTTATTAACCATTTCCAAACACAATTATTCGAGTTAAATGGAGAGGGTTTTTCATTTTCTACGGAACCAAATACAAGGTAACTTTAAGATCATGTTCTAGCCCATTTCCCTAAATTTTCTCAGAAATCAAACAGTCCAAAAAAGTAAGGGACAACAAGAAAATGTTACCTTGTCAAGATCATCGGTCTCCTCAGCGCACTTTATCTCTGCATCGATAACCTTGAGAAGAGACTGGTCCGAACTGTGGCTGGAATAATAGCGAGGGGTCGGAACAAAAGGGGTCAGAGTGGACTTGTAGGAGTGATTGACGTGGTTTATGGCGTTGACGAGAGCACCATGGTAAGATCGATTGCCCCGAGCGAGTCGGCTGGCCAATGGAGCCAAAGAGGAGGCCGATCTGCGAAGAATTGAAGTGAAAGCCATTTTCTTTGGAGTTGCTGCAGAAAACAGAGTGAAGGGTTTAGGGTTTTAGAGACGAGCAAGCGCGGGTTTGGGCTTCTAAGTTGGATTGAGGGTTTTAGGGTTGAAAGGGCGTTGAAGTCAGTAACTTTATACTGAAAGTTGGTTCTCTACGCCACATATACGTGGGATTTTTTGTATTAGTTTTAAGCTCAAGTTGTTATAAAGAAAAAGGGAGAGCCTTGTAGAACTCTGTTGACCTATTGGGCTGGTCTCAAATATTGTTCCTTTTGTTTTTCATGTTGAGGCCCAAATGAAAAAGAAAAACAACAAAACTATTTTATATTAATTCCATGAGATATATAATGAACCAGTCTCAGTCTTCATCAGAGGAGAGCATTCTCATGTCAAAGATCTTTGTCTTCTTAAACTCTATCTGAACTGTAACTGTTAGGATCCCACATTTTAAGCCCCTTCCTTTGAAAAAGTTGAGTTTTTTAGCTTTTATGTTATCTGTTGCATTAATGGTGGAATATTATGAATGCTAGGGCTCATCTGTAGGACCCAGAAACTCAGAGAGGGTCCTTTGAGCTAGAGAGAGTTGTAGAGAGGGAAGGGATGAAGGAGGTCTTTGGGAGTCCAGGGAAGGTGAGTGGGCTGGCACTGAGAATTGGGCAGTGCTCTTTTGCTGCTGCTTCTATTGGAGTGATGGTCTCTGCCCATGGCTTCTTCAACTCCACTGCATTTTGGTATATTATTTGCCCTTCTTAATCAGCTCTTTTTTATTGTGCATTTTCACAAAAATTTCCATGGATTTTTTTTTTTTTCTGGGTTTCATCTCTCGTCCTTTTTTAGAGGTCTTGGGGGGGAGGGTTATTTATTCTGTGCTTACTTAATCTCATGGGGATCTTTCCCATGGGTATGTTAAAATGCTTAAGGTTTTCCTCAGGGATTTCAGATGAGTGAATTTGTAGCAAATTTCACTTAAATACAACTCTCCAATACTAGAAAGAATGGATTTATGAAAGACAAAAAATTTTGTGGGCCGATTCCCTTATTCTGTTTCACCAACTACATAGAAAACAAGGCGGGGGAACAAGAGAATGAAAATAGAACGAAGTTATATAATTTTTCCATATCAGGTTAGGTAGATGAGTGGGTTGTTTGGTGAGTCTAGGAATATTGGCCATAACTGGACACCTTTAAGATTAAACAGCATCTGTAATACACCCCTCTAGCAGTTAGCAGTATTGTTTATGTTTATAAGTCTCTCGGTATCTTTTGAAATGTGTGTTTAATGGTTGCAACTTCCAACTTGTAACCAAGGTTGGGTTTTAAATTGGTAAAGGCAGATTTCATGTTATAGCCCTGAGTGTTGATTTTTCCCTTACCATTCACTTACTAATATATGCTTGAAATGGTAGTTCTGGAGTTCTTCTGTGGTTGATCTTGACCTTCATTTAATTCGTCAGTACCCATCTGTTGATCTCTGAGCTTAAATCTGTACATTTTAAAGAAAAGATAAGGTTCCTGGCAATCTCCTATTAAACTTATGCCTTTCACTGTCCACACAGGAATCTAAATTCAGTACACCGATCGGCCTTCTTTAGTTCCCAGAACCCAAACGTAATAAGACATCTTTACATGATGCCAATGGTGAATTCAAGTTAGAATTATGTTGCAGTATCCCTACAAGGTCATCCAAATAATCTCTTCCTGGTGGAGGATAGGTTATTGTCATCCCCAACAAGTCATTACTATTGTTTTCTGGGTAGGGAATGATTTTCTTGTTATTTCCCTTGGAAAATTGGTTTCAGGTCTCCCACTTCCAGAGGGGTTTAACAAGTTTCTTGATAAATTGTGATCACGGGAACTCTCTTGTAGTTTTCATGTCATAATGTATGTGTTTACTTGATTATCCCACTTGATTTTCAGATAAAGCCTTTCCTTGTTCAGTTTCTATATGTGTTTTGATAAGTAATATTTTCCCAACTTCATTACTTTATGTATTTGTCTGCATAGAACTTGGAGAGTATTAACTGGGAACCTAACTACTAAGGTGCAGAAAGTCACACGCCTTTGCATGTGTATTCCACTACTATGTGCATTGGTGCAGGCTTGTTTTAGGACTTATAATCTGCTAATTAATTGGCCGCTGCTCCTATAATGCATAAGATTGTTCTTTTTGTCCTAGTTTTTCAGTAAATGGTCCAACAAGTCTACCTGCTTCTAGGTTGGATAGTTGTATAATTCTTTACTGCATTTGTTGGATCCAGCTATTTAATTGCATCAATGGGGCTTCAAGTTCTTTGGAGTTTGGGACTTGCTTGCCTTGATTTGCATGCTTTGAGGTCAAAGAGAAGCTTGCAGAATCCTGTTTTAGTGAGCCTATTTGTTGTTGGGGATTGGGTAAGTTTCTGGACTTATTCAGCCATTGTTTGTTGCATTTAGTTTTTGGAAATAATGAAGCTTCTCCGAGGATCCTTTGCTACTCTTAACACTACTACAGTACGTAATGTTTGCTAAAATTATCTGTAAGAAGCATCAATGTCACTGTGAGGATGTTTTGATATGAAAATTGACACAGCATAATTTTGATTCTTAATACTCGGGGTCTGATGCATGAATGCTAAATTTTCCATTCAGCCAATATGGAGCCATTTTTAAGGTTTTATTGTGCTTTAATTCTGCTTTGTTTTATCTAGAAGTTGCAAACAGACTAAACAAAAGCAAAACACCTGGTCCCTTATGTATGCATGCACCAATCGAACAGTTTAATGATAGTTCTCCAATTGTTGTAGATAAAATTATGTTCTAGAGGCAGAAGTGGAGTTTAATTCTTGTAACTATCGCGCTACTAGACTGATTGTTTACTTCGAATTTTGATTCTTCTGAGGGCTCGGGGTAAAAACACCAAGCAACTTCTTAATGTATATTCTTCTGCAGGTGACAGCTATTCTGTCGTTGGCCGCTGCATGCTCATCAGCTGGAGTGACAGTTCTGTATTCGAGAGATTTGAATTACTGCGGGCCACCGGCACATCTTCCATGCAGCAGGTTCCAAATTGCTGTTGCTTTCGCGTTTATCTCATGGTTCCTCCTTGCTGTTTCGTCCATTGTCATGTTTTGGTTGCTAGGTGCAGTATGAGTGACAACTTACACCACCATCACAGCAAACTACATTATTCTTCAATTTTCCCCTGTAAATATCATGTTACACTTCAAAACAAATCAGTTTTGTTGAGGACACCTCACAACTATTTTTCCTGTTGTCTTCTGGGTCCATAGATCTCTAATCAAGGTGGGTTTGGTATGAAGTTGTAATCATTTGCCCTCCATTATTGGCTCTCTTCTTCACTTTATTTTATTTTACTTGCTTGAAATTGTCAGAGTAAAGGTGTCATTTCACATGGTAGGCCACACATACTTTTCCTTTGTCTTTGGTTTAAAATTCCCAATTTGTCCTTGTTTTTTTCACCAAGGAATTCCATGTTCTTTGATGATACATAATCAATTCAAAAGGCTTGATTGATTAGGATGGCTAGACTGCTCACGCCACATATAAAATGTAAGATAGTAATCAGAACACCTAACATCGTTTGTTTGGTTCCCAAATGGCCAAATTTTCTGCTCATGTCACTCAGTAATGGCAGTGTCTTGTGGTCCATTCCATGATTTAAGAAATACGACTTCCGATATTCTCTCACTAGAGAAGGATGTAATGGCTTATTAATTCATTCATTTTAGTTTTCCTTAAAGAAGGTTTTGAATCCGCATGTCTTTTTCATGCACCAAAGGTCTTGTTCGATCGATCGACTCCGACTATGAAAGATTTCAGTTTTGCAAGTTTTGGGGCCGCCAATAAAAATAATTTACACATAATCTATGCTGCCGACACTGGATTATGGAATCATCTCAGATACCAACACTGGAAGCAAAGTGCCCACCACCGCTGTCATAAATAAAAAAAGTATCCAACATCCCTAATTTAAAAATGCAAAAATGATATATTCATTATAATAAAAAATTCAAACTTGATAAGTTACACAGCCAGAATCCAGAGAAGCCGACTGATAATTTATTCCTATATACACTAAAGCATACACAAGTTCTCACAACAATTTAGTCATGGAGGACACTGACCGACCCAAAACTTCAAGTTCAAGAACATCAAATGGAAGGAGCAGCAGAACCTTTGCACTGTGTAAACGAACAGGTATAAGGGGAAAAATAATAACAAATACATATCAAACAAATAAACTTACTATCCTCCCTAGACGCATTCTGTTGTGTGTAATTTGAACATAAGCAATAGCGCACACCCTACATTACAATTTCTGGCTTCAAAATGCTCGACTTGATTTCTTTGTGGGGCAAAACCACACCTCCATTACTGTAAATTTCATCGCTTACATGAACATCTTCTCCGAGGATAGTCATGTTCTCTACACGAGCCCATTGTCCAACTGTGGAGTGCCATCCGATGATACTGCCGGAAATGCAAGCATGCTTCTTGATCCGGACTCCACGCATTACTGTACAGCGAGATAGCCTAACTCCTGACTCAACAACGCAACCTGGACCAATTGCAACATCTGGTCCAATCAGGCACCCCTCTCCAATTTTGGCAGTCTCATCCACCAGAACATTTCCCACAACATTGGAGCCTCTGGCCAACTTAGATGAAGAGTTCTTCCTCAATGAGTCCAAGTAGAGTCTCAGGCCTGTAATATAATCCCTTGGTTGCCCAATGTCCATCCAAAACCCTGGAAGGACCATTGCGAAGAGCTTATTCTCTGCTGCAATATTTGGGAATACCTCTTTCTCAATTGAAGTTGGTCTCAGCTCAATTCGATCAAGAACTGAGGGGTTCAACAGGTATATTCCCGCATTGATTTTGTTACCAACAAACAGTTTTGGTTTCTCTACAAATTTCTGAACTTTCCCTGTAGATTCTTCCATAACCACCACTCCATATTTCGATGGCTCATCCACCTACATGAAACAAAGAAAATATTTTCAGCGACATCCAGCTCTAAAAAATGCCTCCAAGGAAGATGAGTGCGAAGTATCAGGTAGAATTACAACTTCATGTTACCTTGGTCACCATTATGGAAGCTTCTCCTCCATGGGATTTATGGAATTCGATCATTTGCTTAAATGGGTATTCACTGATAACATCACTGTTAAGGACAAAGAAGGGCTCGCCAGAATCATCTATCAGTTTGTCTCTAGCAAGAGCCAGAGGTCCAGCAGTGCCAAGGGGCTCAGTCTCTTGTGAGCATGTGATCTTGATGCCAACCTTTGTCTCAAACTCCTTCAGGAAAGTCATCATCACCTGCAGAAATGATAATGTGCATAAGCAGTCAAAGAAACTTCAGTGGCATGACTCACTGAGTATAAAATTGAACTTTTCACAAAATAATGGCCTCATTTACCTCTGGTTGGTAATTGATCGCTAGAACCACTTCGCTAACACCAATTGCCTTAAGAGCCTCTATCTGGAAAACAAAAAACAAAGATGTATCAACTTACAATTTACAAATTTATGTACACAAGCGTGCAGTGGGGATTTGAGTTGGTAAGGGGAGGACGCAAACTAAAGAATCATAAGAGCATGGATTAATCACATTATAAGATCTATATGGATGCTTGTACCTGATGCAGGATCATGGGTTTGTTTGCAAATTCAACAAGCGGCTTAGGGACACTGAGTGTCAATGGCCGCAAACGTGTTCCAAAACCTCCAACAAGAATGAGTGCCTTCATTTTGATATGCCCTTTGCTTTCCCTGATATCAATGCATTCAGAATTTTACAGGCAGCTTGAACACAAGAACAACCTAACATCGAGATTCAAATAATTACGCATCCACTAAAATATCTAAAAGTGAAAGCAAAAAAAAAATATGCACAACTATGGTTTAACTCATAACTGAAGGGAATTGACCCATTTAATCACCAAAAGGATTTGCTTTTCTGGTTTCCCACATTGGTAAAACCAAGTAGCTCTACATTTCAGCGACCGACAAAACTAAAAAGCAGAAACTTCATACCAACACGATTTCACAAGCAACTCTAATACTATACCAAATTAACTTGCACCTATTCTCAAGTCAAATTCTTTACTTTGGAAAATTCCAAAAACAAAACAAAACAAAGGAGAAAAGACATAACCAGAAACAACTCAAACCAAACAAAGTTTAATCTTTACTAAGTGGGGCTGACCATATCAAGGAAAATGTTAACCCAAACAAACAAATCACAGAAACTCTACCAGATCTGACATTTTATATAAAATTAAAATTACTCCATGTAGCTCTTGGAGAACGAATTCAAAGCAAAAATAAAAATAAAATTCCCAAACAAATCCTCAAAAATATTAACAATGTGAATTGAAAGAAATCATAGCAATGAGGTTTTGAAACAATCAACCAATACACATTGCCAAATTCAGCTGACCGCAAACACACGGATCCGACAGAGAAAATGTCAAAAGGTTTTATCAACGCTCAAGAACGAAAGCTAACAGGAGTCAATTATTACCTCGGATCTCAGCAGATCAAAACCCGAACAGAGCCCGGAGGTTGAGCTCGGACTCGGACGAGTGGGAACCGGGTCGAAAGCGGTGACGAGCGAGTTTTGGGCGAGTGGCGTTCACCCTAACGGTTTTTATCCGTCAGGGTCTGAGCTGTGCAAAGGCGTTGTTGTTGGTTATGGAAAATCTCCCGTCGGATTTATATATATACATACACACGCGGGTACGCGGGATTATTATTAACGAACGTGGTTTTCTGGCGGACTTCAAATTAAAACTTTTATTGGAAATTTCCCTTCAGATAAAAGTGGGTCACGTCCGCTTGGCCGGTGTAGCTTCGGGGCAATTTCGTCTTTCGTCTGCTTCATATTGTGGATAAATTTGTACTGTAAAGTATAATAATTGTTTTATTTTTTGTGGGCGAAAAATATGGATTCTTTTATGAGATAATAATTGGCTGTAGTGTGAATGGTGATTTCTTTTTGTGCTCAAAATGGAAAACCGTTAATTGTGATTCATAATTTGTTGCAGACACTGGGCCAATCAGCATGCAGGAATGACGACGATATGAGTCCCAATCAAACAACATTGAAACAAATTCTCTATTTTTTTCCTTTCCCTTTATATATATACCGAAATTCTCTTATACATACATCCGGATGTTATTATCGTGCGAATACTATATATTTTATATTATTCCTCTATATTTCTCTATCTGTTTACAATATCCGCACAACAATAACTTTCAGTAAATAGAATAATTCATTTGCCAAAAGTAGTTAAAGAAGGGTTTGAATGAGGACACATATTCTTTTTCCAATCAATCTCTCTCATTGGAATTTCTTTCAAAATTGTTACCTTTTTTATGTAATGACGTGGAATTTCACTAACCATCTAAAAGTTGGAGAAATAAAATTTGAGATATTAATAAGCATCTTTCTTGTTGGAAGTATCGTTGTGATCCCATTGATAACGAGTGGGACCAAATAATTCAATCGGGGTAACATACGATTTTCCTTATCGATGGAGATAAGATATGAACTCTCTTTTTGTTTTATATCATTTTTTTAAACTCCCTTTAGAATTAGAATTGTGTTTTGAAAATTTATCCTAAATAATGTTTTTTTTATTTACAAATTTGACCTTAAACACCTATCACATATAGATATATGGGTTTCATTTTACAAAAAATAATAATAATAATAATAATAATGTTTCCATAAAAAAAAGTTTGTAAAAAAAAAAACTAATTTAACCCACATAATATTACAAGATCCACTGTTTATTTTATTATTTTTAGAAAAGAAAAAAAAACCATATTTTATATGAAGTTGCAAGTTGAGGCCAGATCTGCCAACAGAGCAACAAAGCATATTCCACATGAGATACATATGGATAATGCTTTTAATGCAAAGGTCCACATAAATAAAGTGTGTAGGTAAACCCCAAATCAAGGCCAAGTATATAAATAAATAAATACAAATTCCAGCTAATTTCAGCCTTTAAACTTTGCTTGCCTCTCAAATAATTGTAATCATTAATATGCATCAAAACAAACCTCAATGAGAAATTCAACCACAGAGCATGGTTCAGACTAAAGCAAAATTAAATTAAATTATTGTGATTTAATGTTAAATTAGATTAAACCAGTTGGGTTATGCAAAATTGAAGGATTAAATTTTCTTTTGGCCGTCTTCATACAAATGACCTAAGAGCATCTCCAGCTAATGTGTCAAAAGTGCCACATAGACATTTAACGACTAGAAATGACATCTCACATCACTCCAACTAATTTGTC